TTTTAGTTTTTACAGTAGTTTAATAAAAGATTTAACAGTGCTGTTGTTTAAAACTGTGTCCTCATGACCTGCAATGTTTTTATACTCCCTTCCACTTTCTCTTTCATTAAACCTTTATTACACACATACTCATCCTGGTTCAGCATTAATAGTGCTGACACATATTTATGTCTCACTTCTCAGAGGTTATTGCTGAGTGGGAGTCACCTCTTGACAACAGAAGCCCTTAGTAAAGTCAGCTCTTTGCCTGTCAATCATTTCTCCCCTTCACATTCCTGTCATTCCACATGGGCCAGCGCTCCCACCACACCCCACCTCAGAGCCAAACCATTCTTACCACTGCAATGCTCAGAGCAATTTGCAGCACATGCTTATTTTAAAGGTTAAATAAAGTCGTGAAAACAGTCATGAACTGTCTGCTCTAACAGAGTGGTTCACCGTTACTCTAGAGGTGTGAAGCATGGCGGGCGGCTTTGCCCAGTGAGGACATCTCAATTGCTCATAAAATCCCACCACATCTTTTCCCCTCAGTATGCCCCACATGTCCATCTCCCTACTTATCCCCCTCCTCAGGAGCCCAGCACTGGAGTGGCCGTGTACCCATGGTTGTCATGGTAAAGTGCTCTTATCCCGACAAAGAGGCAGAACAAATTGGGTTGAACTAATACACACGCAATCTCTCTCTCCTCCTACAAACCCAGGAAGACTGCCTCCTTCTTCACTTGAGGCTTGCTTCTCGAGGAAACTTTGGCTTCGAGTGCGCGCTAAATTCAAAGTCTTGGCTCTGCGTAAATGTGAAGTAAAACTAAGAGACTCCCCCCAGGCATTAACACGTCGAGGCAGCTGTAACTGAACTAAGTAAAACCTGAAAGGTTTCACGAAAAAAAAAAAAAGTTTCAACCCGTTCACTTTTCTTGTTCTTCAGTTTTACGTCAGCGACCAAAATAGTTTGGGACTTTCCACAACTGATGTTTACGCACAGCTGGCTTGGATTTTCTTTTTGTGCGACCAATGGCTGACGAGAGGAAGGATCTGTTGTGTCTGGGCGTGGAAGTGACTGCATGTACCCATGTGGATCAGTGACACTCCTGGAAGGTGTGCTAAATGAGATGGATTGAGATTCCCAATGGGTCAAACACAGCGCCTGTGGCTACTAGCAAGTTTATGTCAGGTAAGGTAACCCTGCACGATGTCTGTAAAGAAGTTAAAACTGCATTCTGGGTCTTTTAGGTTCAGTTATTTTCCTGTATCAGTAAGATTTAAATATTACATAGCGATTTTGGGCGCATTCAATTATTCAGCAGACATTTAATCCCGTTCCCTTTCCACAGGTGGTCTTGCTAACCTGTGAAAAACATTCAAACACTGTTGAGGTTGAAGTTCTTTTTCAGCCCTTTAGTCAAGATCCAGACAGCTACAGGGTCACCTGCAGACCTGCAAGTAACCATCTGGTAAGAACATTATTAATGGTGGAAAAAAAGCTGTGAAAGTATTATTAAGTTTTGTTAGTTTTTATAAAGTTTACTCTGTTCTCACCTTCTGTCACATCTTTGCAGGTATATGTGAAGAGCTTCAATAACTCAGCATGCTCCCATCACTGCAGGATATTACTGAGAATGGTTGAGGATCAGAAGGGGTATAACATCACGCTGAGAGCCAGCAGGAGTGATGCGGTGCTCGAGACAAAGACCGTTCACTTCCGTGAGTGTCTGTGAAGTCTGAATCCAAACACCACATGTTGTACTTCTATCATGTTTAATAACGTTAACACCTCATCCCTTTTTGTGTCTCAACAGTTCCAGTGTCCACGTCCTCCTTTAATGTATACAGCACAACCACCACCGCCCTTCTGACATGGAAACTTCACAGGCTGCAGACCCTGTCCTCCATAAGCCTGTACAACACACACACGGAAACTGTCGTGCACATCTTCAACATAAACTCTTCAGAAGTAAAATCCCAGTATACAATGAAAGGTTTGCAGCCGGGCACACGCTTCAAGGCCAAAGTCACAGTGACTACATACCTCAAACAGTTTAATATGACCTTGAAGCAGAGACTCAGAATTCGTCTGGAAACAGGTATTGTGAACATTAGTAATCCTGTGATCGCATGACCACAGCTCAATTATTAACCTTTAAGTGACTACAGTCAGGAATTTGTACTGTAAGCTGATTGTAATATGTTTCTCCAGCTCAGTGCCCACCTGGCTGGATAGCCATTGGGGGAAGCTGCTACATTGTGAGAAGAACAGGGTTGACCTGGAGTGATGCACTGCACAGATGTTCAGACCTTGCAGCAGGAAGTCATCTGGCTAACCTGAAGAGCCTGGAAGATCTGGTTTTTATATCTTCTTACCTCCTGTCCCAGAACAACTTGCTGCTGCTATGGACGGGACTTAATGACCAGCAGGTATGCACGAACATATTTTAAATCACTTTAATTCTGAAAAGCAGCATTTATAATGACTTTAATTTTTCATTTTTGTCATGAATAACTGAGCACTTAGTACTTTAGAGAGAATTTTCTAAAAACAAAAGAACAACATTTTGATTAAATATATTGAAAAACATGCACTTAAATATCCTCCAGGGTTAGGTGGTTGTGGAACGTGTGCTGCATGATATTATATTTAAACTTTTTTTTTCTGCATAAATACAATTTCCTTGCAGAAACGTTTTTCACACTTGAAATCAAACACAAACCTTGTGAGGAAAAAAACAGGTTTTGCATTTAGGTAATTATGAATATGTTTTTATGACAAAAAGCAAAATAGGCTTAACAAGGGAGGTCCAAACTGTTCAAAAATATTCCTGGTAGGATTTTTCTAAAGTTTTGTTAAAATAATTTAGTTAGAAAAACTCTGCAAGCCATCGCTGAAGTGCTGGATATCGCAAGGGGAGGTTTTTCACAAAACGTTGTTCACTTTGACAATGCTTCACCGCAGCACTTAACCTTCAGAGGGAAAGTTTGTTTTTCATACTTAAATGGCATTCGACTCGTGATGTCTGCCTCTTTCTTGCCCTACAGGAAGAGGGCCGACCTCTCTGGTCTGATGGCTCATCATATAACCGAACAAACACCATGAAGACTCTGCTACCAGCCAACCAGACGGACTGCTTCGCTTTCCAGAGGAATGCCACGGGGCCGGGATTCTTTCTCACTCCATTCTTCTGTAACATCCCCTTACCCTTTATCTGCCAATATCAAAGTAAATAACTTGTGCACGAGCTGTTTATTAGCCAGAATATAATATTTAACAGTAGTTGTAATGCATAAGTCATATGCAATATATAATTTGGGAGTATCACAACATTTCGTTTGTGATATTGCACAGCACTTACAGATTCAAACCATGCAATTTGTGAGCACTTCTGCCACTTATTTTTCTTTTCAGGGTGCTAAGATATCGCTTTTTCCTCCTTTACAGCACCTTTAGTTCCTGCCTCATTCTCATTTGACCTGGTTCAGGTGACAGAGGACCTGGTAGAGCTTCGTTGGAGTGATCTCTCACTCTGTAACTCACCTGCTCTTTCATCATTTGAAGTATTCCTGCAGTACCAAGAGGAAGAATACGGAGAGTGGGATCCAAGTGAAGAAGATAGGCAAAGGAAGCAAGAGGACCAAATGGGCACAAAGAACCAGAGCACGCCTAAAAAAATTGTAAGGGTCCCCATTTCGATCTCTTCTAGAGGCGTAACTTTAGCAGGTTTATCTCCAGGAAGCATCTACTCCTTCACCCTTCAAGCGTCTCACCCTCCTGGCTTCGCTTGGAGCTTGGGACAAACACAAATTGCATATACTAGTGAGTGTATTGATAACCACTTACACAATTCAAAGGACATTATATTAATAGAGGCTGACTTTTAATATTTACACTGCCTTTCTTACAGGACCTCATCCTGCTCAAAATATCACTGTTGGTCCCATTACAGCCAGTCACTTAAGCGTTCATTGGATGCTGCCAGATGCGTCATTTGTGGCTGGCTGGACTTTTGTTGTACGATATGAAGACATGTCTTTGAAACAGGATGGAGTAGTTGGCATGGCAAACATCTCCAGGTCATCTGGGTTGAGGTCCTATACTGCAGTAATTGGAAGGCTGGAATCTCACAGGAAATACAGGATTGAAGTATACACAGTTACCGAGCATGGGATAGGGAGCTGTGGACAGGCAACTCTAACTGTAAAAACTGGTAAGCATGTAAATGTTAGATTCATGAACAATTTCTAAAAGCTTGTTGTCCAGTAAGTACTGTCTGGTGCTATGCTCTACCTATTTTTAAATTATATTCTAGGAATTATCTTGTACTTTTTAACAGTCACGTGGCTTATTTGAAATCTCTGCAAATACTGATAAGATAAGATAAATGCAAATGCAAACTTTACAGAAAATGTAAGTTATTCTACACATTAGTTGCTCATGTAAGCAGCCTTTAAGTCTGTCCAGTGTACTTAAGCATTGCTGTGAAGTGGAAGACAGTATTGTGATGCCAGTGTGATTCATTTCACCAGAGTAAAAGGCGCAAAGTGTCACAAGTGAAGATGGCATGAACGCAGACTATTGCCTTCTCAAAATATGCATCTTATTAAGCAGCTAAATAGCTTCACATCCAAGTGGGCTAGTTTCAGTTAGATTTTTAGTGCCATTCCAACATTACTTGAGAGGTTATTAATATTTCGCATGTGTTTACATCTACTCATCAGTATTCACTGATGATCCTGTTGGCAAATATGATTTCGTAGATGTGTTTCTGACTGCTTTGCAATGCTCGCCTAAATAATATGGGCAGTATAGATTTTTTTTCAGTGCAATATTAAATGAAATGGTTATGTGCAGGTATGCATAAGTAATCATGTAGCTTTTCAACCTCTGACTTTCAAATAATGCTGGTTTGTACTTCTTAGCGGTGAAGGCTCTCAGTGGTCTGGTAGTGATAAGCACTGGGAGCAGAAATCTGACTGTCTGTGGCACCCATCCACCCAGCGATCCTCCAGACGGTTACTTTATCACATCCCAACCTCTTGACAATCCTACTGCTCCTTTGTTGTGGCTAAACCACTCCAGCGCAGATGGACACTTGATAAATGGATCCATGTGTTTTAATTTGGGCACATTTACTCCTGGTCAGACGTATGAAGTTGGAGTTGTTGCTCTGAAGGGAAATGACAGGAGCGAGAGGTCTAGCGTCATACACACCACAGGTAAGAGAAATAATAAAAGTGTCCAAATAGATGTATTGCAATTTTTTGTTATCTAAGATACTCCACTATCTGTCTTTGACTCTTTTTGTTTGTCTTTGTGTATATAGCTCCTATGCCAGTGCAGGTAGCAGTGCCTGTCTCGGTGGGTACAAACTATGCACAACTGTACATCCAGCATCCACAACTGGGTGTGATGGATGGCGTAAAAGTGTGTGCGTGTCCTGGAGACTGGGATACTGTTTGCAAGGGTTTGGGCAACTATCTGTGTGACTGGTACTCCCTCACTGCTCACGTTCATCTCATAAACCTCAGCAACCTCAGTCCGGGGTCACCGTACCAGCTCAGAGTGCACAGCACGAGCCGAGAGCAGTTGGGACCACCATACTACAGCCGCCTCTTTAGAACAAGTGAGTTACCTCTGTCACTACCAGCACATACAAATGCATGCACTATTCAGAGTGGGCGTAACAGCTGCACTTAAACTGCTTCTACCTGAGAGGTGTCAACACAAACACAGAGATTTAAGGCCACTTGAATTAATATAGCTCAGTGCAACCCTTGACTGCAGTGGAGCTGATCATATCATCCTATTTCACATAACTAAGATAGACACATAGAGTCCAGATGGTAAGTAATTGGGTAGATATACATGTTTTGTTCTTCGAGCTCTATGCTTCAGCAAATTCAATTTGAATCAAATAATGGATAAGGCCACTAAAATGTCAAGTCACAGATTTAATTTGAGAAAGCTTATTCAAGTATAAAAAGAACTCAGTGAGCTACAGTGCATCTCTTTGATCAAAAGTTCCTGTTTTATTAGTGGGTTAAGTTGAAACTGCAGTATTAACAGATGATGACCAAAGTAGGTCAGGGCTGACTGAGAGAGCTGCCCCTTAGGCAGAGGTGGAGTAGTCTGTAAATATGACGAGGAAAGTGATTAAGCGAGCAATGAAGCTAAAACAAAGACAAAAAAAAATCTATGCTTTTTTTTTAATAATGCATGTGCACAAAACTGGAGAAACACAAAGAAAAATGTGTTATGGATGATCTGAAAAACATTTTTCAGGCAATTGTAAATACATGTAAAAAAAACGCCCAAACACTTTATGTCTGTACAAAACATCACAAATGCTCTCAAATACCTTTGTCAAAGGTTAAGAGAAGACCTCATCATAAGACACAAGAGGCAAACTGCTGTTCAACCCAAATGACAGAAAAGCCACATTACACATCAGAAAAGCAAGAAAACAAAAATAATGCATGACTGCCGATATTCTGAACACTATTTCTATTCATTTATTGTAACTGTCCTAATTCTTGCAGATGGATTGTATGAAGAGAGTCGTGCAAAAAAAGTCAAGCTACTACTTGCTGTGTATCCTCGCTCTGTAACAAATTGTTGAATGGCCCATGATAGAGGTTAGCCATCTAAGTATTCCTGAGGCGGTAGCAGATGTATTCCCCAATCTCTTTTCTTGTTTACTGTTTGTGGATGGTGGTTGCGCTACCGTAATCTGGAGAGGGCTTATTTTCTTTTGCGCTCTTCATTTGGCTTCACATAAAAGCAGATTGTGCATCTTCATCATGTCATGGAGATAGCAGTAATTCAATTTCAAATGTAATCCATCCTAATCTTGGCACGACTTCACTGTTTCTCTCTCTCTCTTTTTTTTTTTTTTTAGATTTTTAGTGATAACATTTAATGTTTTAAAAAGATGCATCACAGAGGCCGTGCTCAGAACTGTATGATAGATACTGTATTTTGATCCCTTTGTTTGAAATTTCATATCAAACTATAACACAAATTTTCTGTGGAGTTTGGATTTTCTAAATGAAATCTGTTTCTAAAACATTGTTTGCATAAATTATTAGAACTTTTAATAATCGTTACACTTAATGGGATGTGATATATGCTTTGTAACTTTAGGTCTGGCTCCTCCTAGCAGAGTAAGGGAGGGTCAGGTGACAGATACATCCATTGAGCTGCTTTGGGATCCTGCACCAGGCCAGGATCACAGCTATGAGGTCATCTGTCTCAACTGTGAAAGCTCACAGAAGGTAAAAATACAACAACAACAAAAGCTCCCAAAAATTCACCTGTTTAGGAAGCATATCAACAGAAGCCTTTATTTGATTTCCCCGACAACTTTTCAGTGTCTGGTATGATAATTAAATCAGACGTTTTCACACCCACTGAAATAAATTACCTTGAGTGTTGCACTAATCAGAAGTAGCTTCAGGGGAGACTTATGGTAAACAATAATTGGCATGTTTTTAATGTATTCAGTATAAATATATACACTTCTGTAAGAATTATAATAAGGGTCTTGGTCAGCTTTGCTGGTTATCTGATTTGTGTGCTGCAGGTGCAGAAGGTGTTGAGTCAGAGTGCAGTATTTTCAGGTCTTACTCCAGGCTCGCTTTACCGATTCGAAGTACGGACAGAGAAGCAGTCCTTTACTGACAGTTCACCAGTTACGATTAATATCACTGCAGGTAAATACAGACACACAAATACAAGCACGTCTCCGTCTCTCTTTCCTAATAACTATCACTTTCTGCTGTGCCAGCTTCCAGCCCAGTGGAGGTCTCTCTTGTCAATAAAACCACATCATCCATATGCATTAGTTGGAGTATGTTGAGGGGATTGGTGACTACGCTCATCCTGTCGATCAAAAACAGAACAAGCACTCAGGAGCTGATCACATCTTATCAGGAGCCCAGGTCAGTCTCCGTTCTTCTCAGCCAGTACACAAATTACTGCGGGTTTATGAGCCTGGCGTTTCAATCATCAGATCGAAACTACTTAAAAACACAGAGTGCTAAAGCTGAGTGTGTGTACACAGATTATTCTGCTTCAAGTGCCTCGCTTCTGGAAGCCAGTACACAGTTGAAGTTACTACCATCAGTGGGGACAGAAGAAGTAAACCTGCTACTATGACCCTCTGTACTAGTAAGTGTTCAATCAAATAATGTTGATGAAGTACAAAATAGATGAGCGCAAATAAATTCATAGGTATTCAAAAATAGCACGTATTAGATAAAGAAGAGAAGCAAAATTACTTCTATCTGCATTTGTTAAGGTTCACTTCAAAGGTAGACCTGAATGCAGACAGAGGAAAATCAAGAGTGAACTTTATCTAAAAACTGATAATCAGAGTCTATAAAAACAGCAAAACACACAATAGACAGCCAAACAGAGCAGAAGGCCAGACTATATTTACACTGAAGACTAACGGGGCATCGGCAATAGAAAAGGAATGAAGCACAGGCAAGTAATCAAGACAGTCAGATGGAAGTAAAACACAAAACAAGACACCAGAGAAAACCAACTATCAAAGCAAAGCAGGAAACAATCCAAAAGAGATGGAGACAACAAGACTCAGACTAACATAAAGGCGTAAACACAGAAACTAAACCCACATAGCAAGCAGGTCTGGCCCGGATCTGGTATCAAGCCGGCACTGCTGGCGGACTTCTGGCATGATAAGACGTATGTCATCCAGATATGGGCCAGGCCTGACATAGATGGCACTGTCTACGTGATGGCATGCCATATCTGGCTCGATTGTGGTTTGGTTTATGTGGCCCAGGCCCATAGAAAACAGGTCTGGCCCAGATCTGGCATCAAGCTGGCACTGACTGACTGGTGTCATGGCAGAGTGTATGTCAACCAGATGTGGGCCACGTCTGGCAATGATGGCACTATTTATGCTCCTATTTTAGTTAGAAGACCCAAATGCCATGTTGCAATACTATACTGCTATGGTAGCCAATGTTTCAAATGCAGGTTTGACAGGTTTGTGAGTGTACACT